GATGTGGACGGCCTGGCCAGCAAAAATCCACCCAAAATCCGAGAATCGAGGAGAAAACATGGGATACCCTCTGGTTATGTCAACAGTTTGCTATTGAACATGGTCATAGAAATAGTGGATTTACCCACTGAACATGGTGATTTTCCATAGTTTTTTGTAGGTTTACCAGAGGGTATGTTGGGATGCCGTTGGGATGCCGTCGGCGATTTTTTATGGCGATTTTTTGAACGTCATGATTAAAGTTTCAATGCCAAGCCCGGATCAACAAACTCTGAGTCATTGGAAGTCAATTACCCCCAAACAGTTATAGTGATTATATATCTTAATCTTCTACTAAAATGGTACCCCAATCAACAGCCCAAAGATGAAAAATCCTGGATTGACATCCTTTTTGTTGCCAGCTCTGCTGAGTTAGCAGCTCTGAGTCATTGAATGCTGACAGGCACAAGGGCCGTCACGGGAACGCTGAACGGAACGCACAACTCGGGCAACTTCACGGCCTTTCAAACTTCAGCCCGGTGGGAAGACACAGGCCGTGCCATCATGATCTTCTAGAAATCAACATATGAACTTCAGGCTGGGAAGTGGTTTTTCTGAAAATTCCAGTTTATGATAAATTGATATAATTTCTATATATTTCTATCATTCTCATGATAAAAAATTACCACATGTCTTTAAAACCTGATTCTGGACTTCAACGCTCGTCATCATGTCCGAATTCGGTGGGACATGAGTTGCACATGACGCAGGTTTGACTTTGTCGGCCTGCAAGCGGCTACTGAGTAGGGTGCAGTTGGGATTATGGGTATAACTTACGGTATGCTTTAGCCTTGCCCCAATAAACTGAGAGATAACTGAGATAACCCAGAAAGTTGTGGCAACTTCATGCAATTCACTGCGCAACTGCACCCGCTTTTAGACGTTTTTTTAAAACCATCGCCGCTAGCCACTCAGGCAGCCTCGCTGTGGAGCCGAGCCTGACATTCAACGAGCTCTGGAAAAGTTCCACAAGTTCCGGTTCCAATTCAACCGGCTCTTCCGGAAGACCTCCCAAAAATTCATAAAATTCCAGCTCCACTGGTCGAATTCGTTTAAAGAGAGTCCAGCAAACTGCGCAATCTCGTAGAGTGTCCTGGATTTCCAGCAGAGAAATGCCAAATTTTGTCAAATGTCATATATTTCTAATGGGTAAATCAAAAACTGAGTAAATCATGCTAGATCAAGCTAGTCTGCTTGTCAATGTCGAGGGGAAACTTCCCCTTGCTAGGTTAGACTATAGAAGTTATAGAAGTTATAGAAGGGCTGCAACATTGTTACAACACGCTACAACTCATGAGGCATAGCTTTTCGTATAGCTTTTCTCCATCGAGCTGCGGCAAAATCCACGACTCCAACGGAACCTGGCAATCACCAACGGAGGGGGCCATTCCGAGGATACAAAATCGCCAAATCACGAAGTCTCTGAGTGTCCTAAGCATTTCAGTGTCCTAACAAAAGGACACCCTTTGCCGAACTTTTAAACTTGGAGACTCCGATCAGGTGGTTGTTTTTATCTCAACTCAACTGCTTCAATTTGCCCGGGATTTTTTCTGATCTTCGGGTCTCCAAGTCGGCTCAATGGGTTCGGATCTGGCTGGAAGCGGAACGCGTTTTTTCCGAAAACCGCAGCTGCTTCCAAGACCGCGGCTGTGGGAAGGGTGACCTTCCCGAGAAGAGATTTGGGATTGCTTCAAATCCAAATCTGCTATTGAAGCTCTACAAATGGCGAATTGAAATGACAGCACGACACCTAGGTAGCTGCACCTTTCTGGTCGAAAATTTGAAGGCAACACGATGAAGAAACAAAGTGTCCCACACAGCTTGGACGTTTTGCCAAGTCGGAAAAACAACAGCGACTCACAGTAGCAACCACCGAACGTCCGAATGCATCTACCGCACAACCCAGGTCAAAATGATTCGCACGCAATGCTCACAGGGAAAGTGCTGAATGAAGATTCAACATCACCTCAATACAACCAGCGCTGCGATGGAAACCCTCAACTCCTCAACTTCCACTGTTTGAAACTGGGAATATTTGGGAGTCCAGATCTACTCACGGCAAGTCAAGCCAAAACAGCGTGGGATCTCCAGTTTTTTTCTCGGCATCGATCCTTTAAAAGGTGACCTATCCCATGTCTGAAATGGGATGAATGAGATATGTGACCTCATGTGACCTCCTGTGACCTGTTTTTGGTGCTTTTGGCCAGAAAAATCAAAGAAACGGTGCCAGCCGTGGCATCCGTGCCATCCCCATTTCAGTCAACTGGCAGAATCAGAGATGGAGCCGATGGAGCCTATGGCGCCTTGGGTCCTGCGGAACCGGTCAACCATGAAAAGCGGCATGGTATCCCTTAAAATTACGCTGCAACATCAGTGAATCTCAACAGGATCCAGGTTTTGTTTTTTTTCGTGGAATACGTTCCATTCCAACATGTCGGGGGTCATGATCTCTGAGATGCAAAAAAAAGAATCATGTCCACGCGGTGTATAGTCTTGTGGATTCTCTACCAAGGTTCATTGCTTCTGCCCAACGAGCCACTCGGCTATGTTCGAAGGGATGGTATCACCAACCAATTTCCAACATCGCAAGGTAGAATTGTTTTTTGGTCATGATGGTACATGATGATATCCCAGGAATAAAACTCCTAATTGATCAATAATTATCAACATCTCTATCCCCAAATTCATCACAACCAAGTCCATCATGTCATGATACTGTAAACAACCCAAACAAAGTGCCAACCACCTGGTCGCAAAGTGCTTCCTGCTTTGTTCATAGCTGCTTAGTCGTTGTTCCCAAAAATTGCTAGCTTGATCCCTTTTCAATAGGTTTGTAGAACCCCAAAACTAACCATAAACCACAATAAACCAATGGTTTTTTGACATAATTATGGTTTTGGTTGATATAACCATTGAAATTAGCCATAATTCACCAATGGTTTTCTGATAAACTATAATTTACCACAATTAACCGATGATTTTCCGACACTGCTCCGTTTGCGAAATTTCTGTAAAATCCCGATCACTCATGGCTTTCTCTCCCGGTCGAAGGCAACGTGTGGCGCAACGATGCACGAGCCTGTTGGGAAAGTCAGAAACCAAAGGTTTTCACCAGCTTTGGTCAATTTTCGACAGAAACCAGTGGGATAAGCCAAAAAAAGTTTGAGAAACAGGAAAATCATGGAAAATGATGGAGTTTGGAGATGTTGAAGATGTTTCAAGTGGGAAATATTGAGGATTTGGGTGAGCTCACCAACAGAAACTGAAACTGAAGACTTAACTAATCCATCGTGAAGACGGAACTATTCACCCAATGGATACAATGTCAATCTGCAAGGAGACTTGTTTTGAATTCTTGCGGGCAGTATATGGCAGTAACCGTACTGGACACTCAGAAAACTTAGAAATTTGATCTGCCAAGCACGTATTTGCACAAAATTTCAGGAGATCAAACCAGGATTGACTGGAATTTGAACATAAACATGGTGGCGGCGCCTGTGGAGCGACCGCGCTCTTTCATGTTTTTCAGAGGTCGTTTTAGAGGTTCAAAGCACAATTCCCTGTAAAACGCAGGACTTTATTCATGAACCTTGCTCGATCGATGTTAAAAAATGGTTCAAAAACATTGGAGGCGCGCCTCAAAATTAATTTCGTGTCGTTTTCGCTGTAGCGAAACGCGATTTTTGGAAAAAATGGATTTCGAAAACATATTCCCGAAACACATTCGAAGTTTTTTTACATCTGCGGTCTGCTCACTTCCAGTATGCGATCTTCTTGTTGATCGATTTCATGGGTTTTCCAAGTTCCTGCAGTAAATCCAAGCCAAGTCCAATTTTGTCCCTGAAGTTACTTCAACATCTTCACAACGTAGCATCCAGAGCGTCCCTGAAGTTACTTTAACATCTTCACAACGTAGCATCCAGAGCGTCCCTGAAGTTACTTCAACATCTTCACACCGTAGCATCCAGAGCGTCCCTGAAGTTACTTCAACATCTTCACAAGGTAGCATCCAGAGCGTCCCTCAAGTTATCAACATCTTCACAACGTAGCATCCAGAGCGTCCCTGAAGTTACTTCAACATCTTCACAACGTAGCATCCAGAGCGTCCCTGAAGTTATCAACATCTTCACAACGTAGCATCCAGAGCGTCCCTGAAGTTACTTCAACATCTTCACACCGTAGCATGCCGTAGCATCACATCCTTCCGGCCGCCGACATGAACGTTATTAGCCCACCCCACCCCCCCCCCACCCCACCCCATTTGAAGTTACTTCAACATCTGAACGACGTAGCATGACGTAGCATCACATCCTTCCGGGAGCCGACATGAACGTTATTAGCCCACCCCATCCCCCCCCCACCCCACCCCACCCCATGCTCTGACGTAGCGATTGAAACAGGACGAACATCCCCAAGAACCAGACATTCACGTCAAATCAACATGAAAACATTAAGACCAACTCAAGATCACATGGTAAAATTTACAACAGTGCGGTCGCCTGAGAGGCGCCGTCACCATAAACATAAATAAACCATTGGACCATGATCCAGGCTTCGTTTTGGTTTCAATTTCCACCGGTGTCGCGCAGGATCTCAGTCCAGGCCTGGCGCCAAAAACTCTTCCTGCCACGTTTCCACTGACGGCTTTCGGCCGGACCGCAGATGTGACAAAACATGCACCTTGGAGGCTGGGCCGACATCTCACTATCCCTCACTTGACGGCAGTATGATTGTTATGGTTGTTATGGTTGTTATTGTTGATTGGAAAGAGCAGACACGTAAGTTGGTATCACAAGCAGTAAGATGCGAATTTGAAGATCCGAAATTTTTCAGTGCCAGTGAAAAGCGAAAGCGTAGACTGGTGGAAGCCTCCTTGTCTACTGATTACTCAGCTGGGATCACCTGAGATCACCCCATGTTTACTCCAAGTTGAACTGAATCCATCTTTTAGGGTCGCTTAGAAAATAAAAAACATGGCCTAAGTCGAAGAAACATTCATCACCCCGTCTCCCACTTTCGATCGGCTCCGAAAAAACCGAGCTGCTCATATCCAAAGCGGCAGGAGGCGCGACACTTGAAGTCGCAGGGTTTGCAAAGACCCAAGTGATGCCTGGCAGCTCCCCTGCTACTCCTCTGCTACCTTTCGCACGAGAACAATGGTGTTTTGAAAACAAACACAGATATGAACAGAGGTAATTCTTGCGGGCTGTAAAACTAAACAGAGTTAGTATATGTTAGTATCAATCTGTGGCTGTTAGTCTTGATCCTCCTATGAGTTCAAATTGATCCGTGATAAATTGGACAAACAGCAAACAACAAAGCAACAATGACCACCCTGCCACTGATCGGTTTTGCAAACCGGGATTCACCATGAGTCACCAGGAATTCGCCGGTTCCGCGCAGCCGACCCTTTCGATGGATAATCAGGTGTGGAGTCCTGCACGGCAGGGCCACAACTTGAGCGCTTTGCAAACCAGCCCGGTCAACCGCCTATTGAGGAATCTGAAAGTAATCTCGTCATGTTTTTTGGTAATCTGTACGCTTAATGAACATGCTAAAGTAAAGCCAGGATCCGCTCGCAAGTGACCACTCTTCTGGTAAAATTGAGAGATAGGCACTCTAAAGAAAATTCGTGAAAATTCATCAAGAAATGAGAAGTCCTATTGAGCCCAAAAAAGGACACCTCATGTTGAGACATCCCCACCTGATGGTTTAGATGAATTTGCGTAAGATTTACTTGTGATCATAAAAGATAGAGATAGTGCATTTCAGGCTTGTTGATTTTACTTGGATTTTTTCTTGATGTTGCTTGAGCATTAGGGGAGAAGGTGGAGATCCCTAAATCTATAGTAACAGATTATAGTTGCATTGCACTTATTTGTGGCATAGTTAAGATCTTGATGAGTTTACATGGGCTGGGTGTGGTTTTACTTGAGCATGTCCTCAAGTCGACTATCTTCACAAAGTGTTCATTGAACATTGTTTTGCATGTTTTTGCGAACGTCAATGACTTTGAGACAAAAGCCTGCCAGCTAGACGGGCAACTTTGGCAACTAATAACATCCCACATCCACACCCATCATCAACCAACATCAACCAACAGCACATCAGCATTTTTGGGGTGCCTCGCCATGTGCGAAATATTGCATGCAGGTAGTACCTCAACCAACACCCTGAAACCCACCATAGTGCCATAGATGATCTTCCCATATCTTCCTATTTGATTTGCTGCATCAAACCCATGAAAATCATGGAATGTTCATCTCTAAAAACGCCCAAAATGAACATAGTGACATAGTGAAACCATGGAATGTCACCTAGGTGCCCGCCATTTTTTATTCGGTCCTCCAACATCCGTTGCAGTTGAATAGCACACGGTGCTCCGTTGGATTGAGCCCTGGATGGACTGCCCGCGACTTGTGGCGAAGATGAGGCCTCAGCGTTGAACTGGAGCCATGTGGTTTTCCATTTTGCGGGGAAAAAGGTGGAAAAACCAGGTCGCGCTCCATTTCGCAAGGCCCGGAAATCAGCGGTACAAATGAAAAAAAAACACCAAAACACATTTTCTCAGAGGAAGTGGTAAGATACCCGGAAGATGTGGTGCTACAACAAATGACGAAGCGGTTTTTTTTCCCAGTGCCTTCAACCCTCGACCACAGGGATCCAAAAGGAGGAACTTGGGGCGTTGCCAGGGCCAATCCACAGGGGAACCGGAAGAAATTTCTTTCGATGCTTTCTGCGAAGCAACTGGACATGATTTCAGTCATTGGCGCACACCGCACACTCAGGTGGTCGCCGGACAGATTTCTGCCAGATCTTCCAGCGTGTCAGGTTAGGTTGCTAGAGAGTTGTTTTTGGTTCTGTTAAACCCGAGTTTAACATGTGTCAAACCCACATTGAACTTTTACAATTCAATTGAATCACTATAATCCCACGTTTCATTATTATAGATTGTAGTTTCAATTCTAATTCAACATTCAATCATTACATATCATATACAGTGTGTGTGTATATGTAAAATTATGTGTATATATATAGTTAGAGTTAGAATGACAATTCCTTCTAAAAAGACGTAAATTGTACTTATAGCCGATTAAAATCAAAAAATCAGCATAGATATTTCGATATGTTTTGCATCATAATCCCATGAAGATCATGTAAAGTAAATATTCTTATCATGGTTTAGAATAAGTTTAGTATAGTACAACCGATATTATCCCATCGAGATATCTCCAATGGCTCATGTGAATCCCATGATATAAATATTACAAAAAAAAAACATTGAAAACCCAATGGTGAATCCATTGGATGGTGTCACTGTCCATTCAGAATCCTTTGTTTTGATCGTTGTTCCTGGTATCGCTGTTTCACCATCACCGGGCCATTGATGCCATTGGTAAAACCGCTGTGCTTCCACGCTTCATCCAGCTGGACACACCGGGAACACCGGGACATGGAATCGGCATCCGTGGTGCTGGCATCGGAGAAGGGGAGAAGGTCCGATTCCATTTTCGCCTGGAAAACCATGGGAAAACCATGGCAAAAGTCCAGGTTTTCCATTGGAAAACCACGGCCGTCGGAGTTCACCCAAACAAAGGTAAAACCGGAAACCAATTTATTCCAACTGTCGGAGAAACATGCAGGACGTAAATGGAAGCACAAAAACATCGGTAAAAAACTAAAGTTTCTTGGGCCCACCAAGAATGAAAATCAAGAGTTTTTTTTTCTTACCAAAAGAGAAGGCAAACCCATATTGACCAGCAATCTCCAGATTTGAAAGAGAATATCAACCATGCTCAACGTATGTGTCCAACACTCATCAGGGCTAGCTCTAGCTTGGATGCGGTTTCTGTTAGAGTCGGTCAGATAAAGACTAGATAGGCAGGTAGGTAGATTAGACAGACGATATGAGCTTAAATACATTTGATAGATTGAATACATAAGAGTGACTAGATAGATAAGATCGATTAATCAATTGGACAGGTTAGATTAGATTGACTATATATACTTATATACTAGTATGATAGTTTACATCTGGAAAGAGCAAGAGAGGCAGAGATGAGACTAGATTAGACTAGGCTAGAGAAAGTCAGACTAGATCAGATTTCAGATCAAATCAGATCAGGCCAGAGAGAGAGAGAGAGAGCTAGCTAGCTAGGTAGAAAGATAGATAGATAGATTGATAGATTGATAGATTGATAGATAATGATAATGATAGACAATGATTAATGATAGATAATGGTTAATGATAGAAATTGGTTAATGATCAATCACGATTAATGGTAGATCATGATAGAAAATGATAGATAATGAGAGATAATGACAGATAATGGTAAGTAATGATAGAAAGTGATAGATAATGATAGATAATGACAGGTAATGATTAATGATAGATATTGAGAGATAATGATAGATCATGACAGATAATGACAGATAATGATGAATAAGGATAGATAATAATAAATCATGATAGTTAATGGTACGTAATGACAGAGAATAATAGATAATGACAGAAAATGATAGATAATGATAGATAGAAAACACAGGATGGATGGGATGGATGGATGGCTGGATGGCTGGATGGATGGATGGATGGATAGATAGACAGACAGATAGATAGATAGACAGATAGATAGATAGACAGATAGACAAATAGACAGATAGACAGATAGACAGACAGACAGACAGACAGATAGATAGATTAGATAGATTAGATAGATTAGATAGATTGGATAGATTGGATAGATTGGATAGATTGGATAGATTGGATAGATTGGATGGATAGATTGGATGGATAGATTGGATGGATAGATTGGATGGATGGATGGATGGATGGATGGATAGATAGATAGATAGGTATATAGGTAATAGGTAGATAGATAAATAGGTAGATAGATAGGGAAAATAGATTGGCAAATAGATTGGCAAATAGATTGGCAAATAGACAGGCAAATAGATAGGCAGATAAATAGGCAGAGAGACAAACAAACAGATTGATTGATGGCTAGATTTGACTGTGTCAACTTTCAACTCACATTTGACATTGGTTGCAACCAGAACAAGCCTGGAAAAAAAAAAGTTCTTACTTGTAGCATAGACTTTCAATCTTTCAGATGGAATGTCCACGTACCTACAAACATGGTAAGGTTCTCTGGTTCAAACAACACAACAAAAAAACACAACGCAGTGACTTCACTGTGGACATCTCTTGGTCTTTCAGTGATCATGGTCAGGACGTGAGCTGTATGTTTCATGTCTGGCATTTTCTAACAACATGTACCCAAAGCATGTAGCATCTATGTGGGTAAATCCGTACATTTACAGGACTGGAGGTAGAAATATGATAAGTTTACACGATGTATAGAGCACCATTGGGCATCATTGAGCATCAAACTGTCCCCCGCGGGCTGCCCCATCTCTCCTCGCGTCGTACGAGGCCTACTTCCTGCGATCCAAGACATCGATATTCCATGAGCTCAAAGAAGAAATCCAAAACTTGCATGACTTTTGCTCCGATCAAAGAATCTTGAACAGAAATCCGCAAGCCTGCCGGCGTGTTTTGTGGATGTTCTTGCGATACATCTTGTGATAGCTTTAGCTTCACCTATAGATTGCTCCTTCAACGGATTTTTGGTTTCGCTGCCCTACCCACCCGGTCCCCCCCCTTATATACACTCTAGTATAGTCTAGTCTCTTCTAGTCTAGTCTCGTCTCTTTCTCAGGCATTGTCGTCTCGGTGGTCATCGTCATCGTCATCATAATCGTCATCGTCATTGTCGTCATCGTCATCGTCATCGTCATTGTCACCATCATCATCATCATCATCATCATCATCATCATCATCATCGGCCTCATCATCAGCGGCCTCATCATCATCAGCCTCATCATCATCGGCATCAGCATCATCAGCCTCATCATCATCGACATCAGCATCATCGGCATCAGCATCAGCATCAGCATCAGCATATTCTTCTTCTTCTTCTTCTTCGTCGTCGTCTTCTTCTTCTTCTCCTTCTCCTTCTCCTTCTCCTTCTCCTTCTCCTTCTCTTTCTCCTTCAACTTCTTCTCCTTCTCCTTCTCCTTCTCCTTCTCCTTCAACTTCTTCTCCTTCTCCTTCTCCTTCAACTTCTTCTCCTTCTCCTTCTCCTTCAACTTCTTCTCCTTCTCCTTCTCCTTCTCCTTCAACTTCTTCTCCTTCTCCTTCTCCTTCAACTTCTCCTTCTCCTTCAACTTCTCCTTCTCCTTCAACTTCTTCTTCTTCTTCTCCTCCTTCCTCTTCTGTTCTCTTCCTTCCTCCTCCTTCATCCTCTCATGTCCGTCTTCTCTTTCGTTCCTCCGGCTCGCCTCTGTGATACGCCCTTTTTCCACCTTTTCTCCACGCTTTATGGCCCGTTCTCTGGGATGCGGCATTTTTCCACGTTTTCTCCAGGCTTTCCTGTCCGTTCCAGGCAGAAGTGCGTTCTAACCTGCCGCTTTCGCGCCCAACACTTTCCATAAGCACCTGCCACTCCTGCTCTTCCTCTCGACTCACGGCCTTCTGCGGGCGCACTCTCACAGCCATGGCGCTTGCATCTACCAACATGACTCCTTTCTGTTCAATCTCCAAGGCCTCAGACACACCAGCTTCTACACAAACCAACTTTTACACCAACCAGCTTTTACACAAACATTCGTTTACACCGAGCACTTTTTGCAGAAAGCCACTTTTACACCAACCAGCTTTTACACAAACTCGCTTTTCCACACAGCACCTTTTACACCAACCAGCCCTTACCGGCCAACCATCTTTTACACAAAACACCTTTTGCACCAACCAACTTTTACAAACCATATTTTACACAAACCAGCTCTTCCACAAACCACATCTTAGACAAACTACCTTTTACGCAAAGCATCTTTTACACCAACCAGCTTTACACAACCCCTGTAGGATTTTTCAATCTGAGCCCCTGACCTTTGGCCCAAATTTCTCGAGCCCCGGTGGTGGCCGCGGGGGGATCTGAAAGGCAGTCTCTGGCCTGGAAAAGGGCTGGGGCCCTGGGGCCAGTGAAATCTTTGTTGGTTGAGTTTCACCATGTTTCACCTCAGTTCACCTCATTTCACCCCAGTTCACCCCATTAGCTAGTTCGTGAAATATCATGTTCTATCGCCCATAAACATCCATAAACCATCAATGATCATGAAAAATTTGAGTCAACTCAGCGATCGTTTGGGGGCCTCCATAGATCGCTGTACCCTCCTGTAAACGTTTCAAAAGATGTGGAAGCCCACCATTTGCAAATCATTTTCCGAATAGGAAACCATTCGTTTTCTACATCTTTTTACATCCATGGTAGTTTTACCCTGACTAAACGGACCATGGCCTTCCAGTTCGCAAGCTGTTAGTCATTAGAGGGGATACTCGGATACTGATCTTTCATGGCTGGCTCATTTCCTAAGTCATAGGGCCTCAGTTATCCTCCATTTTTGGGGTGGCCATTTTCGCCAATAAAGCATCCAGCTATTGGAGGTACCAACACGAAATCTCTCCGTACCTGGAGGCTGCCATTCTCTGATCACAACATCTTCCCGCGGCAGCCAAAAAAAAGGGGCTGCGAAGGTGACAAAGTGGCGGCCAAAGTGCGGGAAATTCGGCGAAGTCTGGGGTTTTGTGGTTTTTCCATGTTTTTCCCGCACCCTTTTTTTCTTCGCCCAAGCAATATCATCAACCCAAGTACTGCTGAATATTTTGCACAACTTTGCACATGAAGATCTGATGTACATCTTATCTCTTTCGGCATCTGCAAAGCATGACCGGCTGGACCGCCAAGATTTGACGAAATGCAGCTCGAGCCGTTTGCACCTGGCGATTCTGTCCAAAAATTGGATACCATCTGGTTATGACTAACAGTTTGCCATGGAAAATCACCATGCTATTAATAGGTAAACCATCTATTTCTATGGGCTATTTTCTATGGCTATGTTAAATAACCAGAGGGTATATCAAATACCTTTAAATTCTTAAGGCTGATCAGTTTCCTCCACCAAGAAATTGACTTTTGGTGGCCAAAAATTGTAAACGACACAAACAAACCTGAACTGGTTTTCCCGGAATCTTAGACTTGTACAATAGATTCATCTAAAATGCACGTTTTTTCTTACTACGTCTCAATCTGTTCAGGAGTCCAGAGGGACACTGCTTAAAAATCAACTGCCACCACTGCCTCATCATTGCTTGTACCTCAGTCCGAATCAGTGGTTGCAATCCAAGTTTTCTCCAAGCGGTTCTGTTGCCTTTCTGTTGTCTGGTTGGCAAACTATCTCCGAGACTGTCTCCCACAATTCCCTCAGAAACCACCCCACCCAGCCCAGTGTATGTGGCGGGCCCATCACGATGGAAGTTCCAGCAGATCCATCCAAAAGCTCACGGCGATTTTTGTGAAACTCTGCGTCATGGAACTTGAGCTGTGGCCGTTGATGGTGTGTCAAAAAACTGACTTCAAAACACTTCAAGACATCAAAGTTCTGGTGAAAATTTCGTCTCATGGGATCCTAAAGAAAATGCTCGAAACTGCTTGAGAAAAGGCACATGCAAAAGATGAGACGACGTATTGCAATCGGAAGCAACGTGTGATTGGAGAATGTCAACTGCAAAATGTGAAAAACATATATTTAGAATCATTTAGAAACACCAGGAAACACCATGATTTCATAACTCAAGCATGCCGCGAAGCCAGCAGAACTGTTGCATTTTGGTCAATTTTGGTCCACCAAATCACGAAAGTGACTCTGCAATGCCCAAGTAGTGGACACGCTTGAGACTGGCAAGCTCCTGCTGCAGCTCTTGCACAGCAGCAGCTTCCAAACACAATGCAAAGTCCTAAAATCCGACCAACCCGCCATGTCCTGAAGCTGTTCGTCCAGCCCTTCGCTTGACCAAGTCGGGACATGAACAAGTGGACTACTGCTGACCCCGCAAAATGCATCAAAACAGCGGTTACATCAATGCTACACCAATGTTCGATCATAGTTATCAACTTGCAGTATTTATGACTTTTGCATACTTTTACTATATTTTACTATAAGTTTATATAGCATGTTACAATGTTTCATCTACCCCTTTCATCTACCTTTCATCCCTCCGAACTCAGTGCATTTTGGGGTCCAAAACCTTGGGACGGCCCCGTGTTCAAAGACGACTCGAGGCGAGCACCGAAAGGTCCGCACGAGGCACGGTTGGCCTATCATGACCTGGAAATGTCGCCATGATCGGAGATTTCAGCGCCATCCCAGTTACTTGATGTAAACGGTCGCACCAACTCGAGTCATTTAAGAACTCTGAGTTTAGTTGCAACTCTACACAGATCGGACAATGATTTTTCCATAGTTCTTCCATGGTTTTCTCATGATGTAAATAACTCCCATCCAAAGTTGCTGTACCGGAGAGATGAATGTCGGACAATCATCACTCCCTAAACACAAGGTACAGGAAAAACAGTTTTTTTTGGAGGGAGATGTCTGATTTCTATTGATTTCTGAGCTCAATCTCGTGTGGAATGTCTTCGGCTCGATAATCTGGGGCGACTGATGATTCGTTGTGATGGGCGAGTCATGGCACTTTCTACACGACAGACCGAACCCAAAGAGCACACTGGAAACGTGAGCTCTTTCGTGTCTTTCGTGTCTTTTGTGTCTTTCTCATCTGGGGATGTCACCGAAGACCTTCGGAGTGGGGGAGATCTGGATGTGGATGAATCATGGAGATCTTTCTCCACTCTCTCCACTCTAAGGCCTGGCAGTTTGGTTTTCTTGGAAGCTGAGGCTGACCGGGATGAACTGATTGGACTTTGATTCGCTTTTGGTGTGATGGGGTGAGTTGTCTTCTCATCGGAAGTGACAAAGATTCGATCTTTGCCCTTGCTATTTGCGGTCGATCCGTTGGATCCGTGGTCTCCGTTGGATCCGTTGGATCCAGTCTCTTGCTTGGGCATCTGAAATGTCTCATCATCCAAAGAGGTTTTGATCTGTAAATGTGGTCGATGAAAACGACTCCACCTCGGTGACCTCGCTGGCGGCGACGTTGGTGTCCGCGATGAAACTCCCAGCAAGGTGGGCGCCACTGGCTCGGTCTCAACGGGCACACCTTCCTGAAATCTGAAAAAAGCTCCACTGAAATGGTCAGTTTCAAAGGGTTTTTAGCATGGTTTAGCAAAGCATTAAAAAAAATGTCATGGAATTATAGATGGATATAGATATTATATATATATAGATAGTGAGAGAGAGAGAGAGAAATTATAGACGTTTATAGATTTCTGTTTCAAGTCAAAAGCGGCTCAAACATATGTTGTAGCTGCTGCATGTTCCGTTCAATTTCTCTCTGAATCTCTGGTTATCTCTTTGCCAAAGGTCCACATCGCTTCGCGTTTCATCGTCCATGACAATCGGATCTTGCTCCGAAAGGATCTCCTGGAAATTCGGGACGTTATCCTTCCGTTCCAAACTTTCTTCGTCACTGGACAAACTCTCATCACTTTCATCACTTTCCACCTCCCGGCGGGTCGATGTCACAAATCTGCTCAACTTGCTGCCGATGATTCTGTTTCATAAAAGTCCCTGAAGCCTCCGTTTGATTCACGGAACCCAAAAAAATTGCCACGTTTGATTCCCAGAGGATATCGGAGGGTTTTTGTATTTGTTTCAACACATCTCCTGGCCTGATATGAGTCCGTCATTTCCGTGGAGGTCCTGACTTTCATCTCACCCGTCTGACCTCAAGTCATGACAGGGTGGACATCGTGACATTTCACAACCCGCTTCGCCAGCGCGAAGCAAATTTCGGCGAGAGCCAAGCCAAGAGTCCAGCAGAGTTTTTTTTGATCACCAGAAACCACGAGAAATCAATGGGGTATATCAGATATATCATCATCACATTTGTGGCAGTATATGATATATCTGTTATATTTCTAATATATAGAGTATATATTAATCCCAAAATGATGAAGAATTACAGGATTTCCCCATGGATTTCCGGACATCCCACAGCTGAATCAGATCAAAAAAGCCATTCTGATTGGCCCGATTCCAGGCCTTTGGGGGTGTCCTCCAGCTCCAGGTCTTGCCACACCTGATCAAAAAGAAGGGTTGGAAAAATCCATCCGCAAAATTGCCGGGAAACCTGCCATATGGATCCATATTATGGTCAGAAAGGACAAGAAAAAGGTCAGAACATTCGGATTCGGCCGGATTCGGCATTGATTTTCCCTACCTTCAACATCCTTCAACATCCTTCAACATCCATGAACGCATAGCAGTCATAGCGTGAACAGTCATAGCAGGTACCCTCTGGTAATTTAACATAACTATGGAAAATCACCATTTTCGATGGGTAAATCCACTATAAATAGCCATTTTCAATAGCTATTTTGACATAACCAGAGGGTAGTGAGGCCAGGTCGCGGAGTCAGTTTGCATTTCGGAGTCCACGGACACCGTGGCCACCGTGGCCCCCACATGTCGCGACAAGTCCTGGTCGCTGGGGAAATGTCCCGTATCAATTTGGGGACAAGAGTGCTTCTACTCTCATGCCACGTGAATCCCATAGTATAACATGTATATATATATTATATATATATATGTGTGTGATATATATATATATATATATTATTATATTATATTATATTATACTATATTATTTTTTATTATATTATATTATATTACATTATATTATATTATATTATATTGTATTATACTATATTATATTATATTATATTGTATTGTATTGTATTATATTATATCATATTATATTATATCATATTATATTATATTATATTATATATATACCTTCTATACATTATGTCTTGCCTGAAAACTCCGACGTCAATGGAAATATCATAATGTCACTGTATTTTTTTCCAACCGTATAGACCGGATGGAAGCAACCTGGCGTGTTCCATTTTTCACAGGATTTGCTTTGCCTCCTGCCCGCCCCTTGTCAGCATGTTCTTGCTTTTTACTTTCAGTGTTTCTCAATACAAGTTATCCAGTTAGGCTGTCAACTTATTCCAAGAGTGAAAGAAATTTTGTCGGCACTCCCTTGGGTTTATGATCTCAAACCCTGACGAAAGATGGCAAATACCACATGAAAAATACGACCCTTTGGTGAGACCATTGTGTCTCAGATCGCGTCCTCATCACGAGACTCCCCATCTCGGATGGGGAAAGTCATCACATCGACGAAATTGTTGAAACTCACCCCCTCAAAGCCACAGCTTTGGCTCGTCGTCACAGACACCACTTCCTGACACAGGCGCCATAGGCTACAGCCATAGGCTACAGCCATAGGCTACAGCCGTAGGCTGCTGAAACATCCACTTTTGATTCTCCATAAGACTTGGACATGTAGCCAGAATCCAATGACTCATCAGCCGAATTAACCCACGACTAATTACAGGAATTACAAGCATTACAAATGTCATTACCTGGAACGCCGTAGTTGCCTATTTTTTCAGGCTACTTTGAGCCAGTAGCCTATTCCTCTGGAACTTTCCCATTCTTATGGATAAAATAGCATACTTTGAGGTTTTGGGAAGGTGTCTGCATTTTGAAGTTTGCAGAGCACACTCGCACCAGTGCCCTCAGCCTCGCTCAATCTGCAGGTTCCTTTTAGAAGCTTCTGGCTGCATTTTGTTCGTGACACATTGCTAGCAGCGGAGCACATGAGAGCTTGGCATATCTCCTCAACCAGTTTCCAAGTTTTTGATGGGACGCAAATGATATGGAAAGGTTGAACATCAAACAGGTTAACAAATTTCAAAGAAAACCGCCCATGGATTTGATCGCCATGGCTCTCACTTCCATCTTGGGAGTCAGAAGGGGCCAAGGAGCTTGAATGTCACATTCATATGATTTCTTGTGGATTTAGAGGCAACATCATGCAGCGGCTTGATCGGTTTCTGAATCTTAAATGACGCACTATTCAATGCAGGATTCCGGATGAATGTTTGAATCCCTCGGCAATGAGAGCTGCTGAATCTCAGCAGCAAATGGTTTCAAGTTATATGACTGAAATCTTCACATGAATTGGTGCCATCCTTGACCCCTGTGCCCCGCCGAGGAAACCTCGAGATCACTGGATGAGCCTTCCTGGCCTGCTTTGCTCACTTTCTTGGGTCCTGCACAAAGCTACATGTGCAGCAACGAATCAGCTTCAAATCAGAATTTTCTGGTCCCGTCACTAGTGAGATTTTATAGCTGACATCTCGTGGCATGTTCATCTCAAGCACTTTTAATGAGAGGGTTTTTCTAGAGGGGTGCCACCATGACCGATTCTGATGCTGAGATCCCTGCTGATTTTGCGAACCAGTTGGAACAGTGTACAGTAGTCCGTGGTCGCTTTAGAAAGCAGATTGGCTGGCTGCAGTGGCCGGTATCTGCTGAAAATGTTTTGGGTGATGAGGAAAATGGGGAAGTTGAACAGCACCCCGTTTGCACCAAGAGTTTGGAAATGAATGTAGATGCTGTGCGGGCGATGGTGGAACACTATCATGGAGACTTTGTGGATATCAGCACCCTGTCCGCTGAGGCCCTTGGAACACATGTTGCATGTCTAAAAAATGTTTGATTACAACTGACCATGATGGTGTGACATACAACATGTCTGACCCTTTGATGGAAGCTTTTGGTAGGTGAAAAAAATGTTCCTCTTGGTCAAGTATGATTGCAAGAACCTCAAGCTTGAGTCCTACCAAGATGCTTGGGACCTACGCCGGTTATACACTTTTGCATGGAAACGCCAGCGAGACTGTCGTAAGAGAGGTCAGCGGCCCCGGGACCTGGGTTACAAAAATTGTTCTTGATGCCCTATAAAGTTATAAATGTATATACCTGTATCCTGTATACATATAATATGTTATAAGTATAGGTTTTAGTATGTTAATGTATGTTATATATTCTAGCGTTGTTGGGGTTCCCATTTGCAGGACCCGCGCGTGAGAGACCTGTTTCAGTTGATCCAACAGACTCGAGATGATTGGGCTTTCGCGGATGGTGATGCAGAGAGCCCCTGTCCCATCAATCTTAAGGGGGAGGTCCATGGTGATTCAGACTACTATGAAGATGATGAACAGGAAAAACGTGTCAAAGAAGATCCACCCAAACCCAAACACAAGATGGAGAGGAAAAATGCCAACGCATCCCTCGAAAGGAGCCGCTCTGACTTGTCCGAGGCAACTCTGAGCCCACCCAATGCTCTCTTGAAAGGTATGGGCTTCAATGTGCACATGACTCCAGAGCAAGAAGCCGAGTTGCATGAGATTCTCATGGCTATCAATCAGCTGGATCCAGACCCAGACAATAAGTCTTATCCTGAGAGATCAATGTGTTTTATAAAAAATCACATATGCTTCAATCTTAGTAGGTCAACATTTTTGATGATCACACTCAGGGATGATGTGGCCCCGAAGGCATCGAAACGCCCCCGCCACTTATCAGCAATGTATGTTACTGTATGGCCCAAGAATTTCAAGAGCCCTCATGCGCCCACGAGCCGTCCTTCAGGTGCTGCTTGTCCTGCCTTGCCACCAGCTGAAGATCCTTCCAAGGCAAAAGTTGCAATCTTTTGCAGCAATGTAGCCATGGTAGAACATATATATATATATATATATGATACATATTATATATATATGTATAATATATATATATATATATTATACATATAATATGCATATATATATAAGCATTTTGACATCCATACTGAAGATCCTTTCATATTTGATTTCACAAATGCATGCATTGCAGTTGGACACGCAACCGCTGGAGAGCCCGCCCAGCCCTTTGGAGACCGAACGTCCAGAGACCACAGCTTTGACTGAGACCGATGCAGCCAATCAGGCTCATTTGTTCATTCTTTGTTGCGCATTGGCATAGTGTGCTTTTCTTGCTCGATCTCTAACATGTGAACTTGATGTTCATTACTTTGTTTGACCCTCAGGTGGAACGGCCGAAGGTGACCCCCACGATGCAGCATGCAAAAAGGAGCAGCAAACGTGCCACTATGAGGAAAGGTCGTAAGGCAAAGAAAGGTGGTAAGGCAAAGAAAGGTGGCAAGGCAAAGAAAGGTGAGGCAAAGACTGGCAAAGAAAAGAATGGCAAACATGCAAAGAAATCAAAGAATGCAGATGCCATGGCTGACAAACCAACAGAAGGCCGACGCCGCAGCAGCAAGTCGGGAAAATCCAAAGAAACCAAGACAAAGAGCAAGACTGAGAGAAAGCCAAAGGATGCAAAAGACCCGACCAATAGGAAAACACCTACAAAGACTGTCGAACCCAGTGGCCACAGCAAGGTCTATCAGGACCGCATTGACTTGGGCGAGGGGAAGTGGCGGTATGAGGTTCTCGAAAACCAAGTCTTCGGATGCAGCAATTGCCGTTTCATTTTCAATGGGTGCAAGGTGTGCCGCAACCCGAATTTCAGGGGCCGTTCAGCAGGTGATGTGAGGCTTGAGCAAGGGCACTCATTTAATGAGTCCACTGCGGAGGACCTTCCTGTTCCAAATGATGTCCCACCCTTCCTTTCCAAAACAAAACGCAAGAAGACGGACAAGAAGACCACGGACAACAGTCCAGCATCGAAGTCGAAAAAGTGAACGCTTTGGTGAACACATCCAGGTATCTCAAATTAATTCAGTTGGAATGTCATGGTGATTTCATTCATGGTCTTTGTCCAAATCAACATCTCCAAAATGATACCCTTGCATGCATTCCAAGAAATACACGCCCACACACCCACACCCCACACACATGACCAGCCTCCAAGGTATGGTTCATCATGATGCGCTTCAACAACTTTCGGCTTTTTTGGCCTCCGCTGATGGCATCTGAGTGAGACATCCCCAGGTGATGTCGTTTTGGCAGGGGAACCCTTGCCCAATATGTGGGGTGTTGGCAGCTGAGTGTGCCACATACGGGATTGCGCCCATATGATCCAGTTAACTTTGGTGGTCATGCCGGTCGATTTTCATAAGACCGATGTATATTTTGATCATTCAATGATTCAATGTATATTCATAACATTATATACCTATTATACAAATATATCAAGCTGTCGACTTTCAAAAGTCCTGGATGTGCGCTAGCCTCGCTGCCCTTATGAGAAACTGCTGTGAGTTGAGCGAACACGTGAATCACGTGGCCTGAGGGAAACAGGCAACATACATTAGCTGACGTGAACCATTCAGGTGACAAAAGAGCACATTATGCAGTTTGACAATTAAGACTTGGAATTCCCAGATTGCTGTTTGTTGGTTCATGTTGTCCCCTGATATTTTGCCCGGCTGCCACCGTGATGCCAGGTTTGAACCCTTTAAAGGCCAAGCGCCGGCAGCGCCGGCGCCTTCCAACAAGTACGCCCTGCTCTGTGCATTGCAATGCCCATGAGACCGATTTTTCACTTTTCAATTTTCCATTTCGAACCTTCTCCAATGTATTTTACTGCTACATGGTTTCCTTCTGATGGTTGTTCACCGCAGCCCCTTTTCCAAAGTGCATTGATTGGCACATTGATTGATCACAAAATGATGAGTTTAGCAATTTTTTCTTTCGAACTATAATGCAAGATCTGTTGGGCCCTATAGCTCTGATGGCGGCGATGGATCGTGCCTCTGTCATGCGCTTGATAAGATGCCTTCTTCAGTGGAATGTCCCAGAAGAAGCTTGCCTGACATGGTGACCAACATGATAGCAACACAGCAACACAGTCATATATAATGGGCTGCTAAAACATGCTAAAACACCCGTGATTCTCTAAGGTTCTTATTCTCGCTGTGATCCTTGTAGCCTTCACTGATGGGGCCGTTTCCGGCCAGGCAGGGTCGAAATTGGTATCAAAATGGACGCACTTTTTTGAAAAAAAACATGCCCCTCTTTTTTAATAAATGGCACCTCATTTTGAAATATCCCCGTAAGCATTTCTCACTCTCTCCAGCGATACATTACTTTTCATCAATATACCCTCTGCCATTGTTCAGGACTATGATGCCATCGAGGTGTATGCTGGAGTTGGCACTTTGAGTCGTCAGTTGAGGGCGGCCGGGTTTAGTACCTGCACCCTGGATATAGTGGATTGGAACCCTTGGATTCAAGAACGCATTCTTCGATCTAGGAAACGTACTTGTAAGGGGAACCCTTTGGACCTGACTACTGCAGCGGGATTTGCGTTTCTTAGTGTGCAGTTACTCAAGTTTTCTGTGTTCATGGAAGTGTGGTATCCAGGGTCCTGTGCAGTTCTTTGGATCTGTCATGCTACCATTTCATCCCCTAAGGTTACTGCTGGCAGCGATTTTGAGAGGTGGGCCTGACCTTGTGGTATCCATTGCCCTGATATGCTCCACATTTGTATCAATCTCACGTGGATCTACAATGCGAGATTATTTCCTTCCACTTGGTGATGAAACTGCACCATCTGTGGTGATTTCAAATTTGCTTGCTTCCAGGACCCTGTTTGTTGAAACCTCCCATTATTGCGCTGTCAGAAATGCCATATGGAGATGTCTCAAACTTCAGAGTGATATTTTTGAACCAAACAAGGCACCTCATCATATGGAGATACATGGAATGTGATATATACAGACCAAAAAAGCCGAGTAATGCCATTACTCGGCTTTTTTGGCAGCCCATCAGAAAGTTGACGCTTGCATCAGTGACACCATTTCGAATCTGAATTCAACACCCAAAGATTCCCTTGGTCATTGAAAACCTTGCCTTGGTAATGTGCCCATGCTTGCCAGGACGGCCTTGGCAGTGCTCTTGATCATTGCCCGAGGAGGAACGTTTGTATTAGAGCAGCCGCATTCCAGCTTGGTTTTTCGGCACCCTAGGTTCCAACAAATATTGCGGTACACAAGGGCACCCTGGTTGCTGTAAGTTCAGAAACCATTTTTATCACGTGCTTGAATTCCTTGAGTTATGTTCCAAACATCCCTTGGATTGAGGTATACAAGCAGAGCTTCTGGATGCGTGGCTGGGGAGGGAAATCACCAAAGAGAACAACCTTGTGGAGCAACAGTACAGGGATTCGATACTTTGCAACCTCGAGCAAGTATAGTCGGATGAAATCCCGTACGTCCAAATCCAAGCTCGCAGATGTATATTATGATAAAGCTGGGAAAAAGCGCTACAAAGGCAATCGCCGCCTCAAAAAGTCCCAGTGCGAAACTTACAGTCCATTGTTCCATCAAAATGACTTTGAATTATTCAGCTATGTTCACGATGGACCATACACTCATGGATTTTCTGCCATAATCCTGGACCCCCATGCTAAGGGAATACCCGAGTGGATATGGAAGGCAATTTGCCGCTTCAATGAAAAGCCTCATCAAAGAAAAAGGATCTCCTCGCTACCCATCTCCGGTGCCTTTGTGGGTTGTTTTATAGTTGTTTTTTTTTCGTGGCTGGCCATTCACAGAAAGAACGACCCCAAATATTATAGCAAAATCTTTGGTATATTATTGTAATTTTCCTGTTGGCTTGCCACCCCAAGAAAAGGCCCCCACAAGTCTACCCCCAATAGCATTTTTCCTAGGGTTTTGTTTGCTGTGTTTGTGGGTTGTGGGGGCCTTTTTTGGGGGTGCCAATCCAACAGGAAAATTGCTAGTATATAACTTGTGGGGGGTCAGACTTGTGGGGTGTTGCCCATGCATGTTCATTATTCCTGCACGTGCTCGAGGTTCCCGACCTTGACTTTCTGAAGCCGGCGGATTTGCCCCCAACGACTGCCATCCAGGACCTGTGGCATGATGCCAAAATGGTTGAGGTGCTGCAGTATTTGTACGGCAACCAGAACTTATCTCTTCCTGATGACTTTAAGAGCCTTTTTCCACCTGAGCTATGGGCGTGGGCCTAGATGCCCTGACAGCACAGAAATTCACCATTTTGAGTGGTATAATGGCCAAGATCCTGGTGATATGTTGCAATTACGAATCTTATAGCTATCGGTACACCAATTTACCTCTTCGGGAAACCTCCATGAATTTTCCGACTGTTTCCGATTACATTTCAGTTTACGATGGGTATTCCAGTTTACGATTATAGGATATATTCTAATCTACGATTATGGATATTCCAGTCTACGATTATGGGTTTAGGACACCAGTCTACGTTTATGGGTGAATGTATGGCCCCAACCTGCGATTATGGGTGAATCTGAAAAACACCCTGAAAGCAGTCACAGTGACTGGAACATGGGAAAGTGCCGTAAACTTCCATCAAAGAGCCGTAAATTTCCATAGGAATCTTATGGATGAAATAGGCTACTTTCCAGGATTTTGCATGGCCATGAAAAACAGTGATTTGGGGGACAATTCGTGGATCTGTCTACGATTGTTCAACTGCTGTATGCATGGCATGCTTTTTGGAGGCCAATTACAGCTGCAGTGAGGAAAACTGCTGCGCCATGATTGATTTGAAATCACACATGCAGAGCATAGCAAAATTTCCAATGCGTATTTTATGTGCATATTTGCCAACGATTTTTATATCAAAAGGATTCGATATCTTCTTGCGGGGTCAGCCATGTCTTGCAGCAAGCCGGAGCAAGTTCACAAGTTTGCTTCACGGCAGTGGTCATCGGGATCACTGATGCGTGGCCTTTCCTTTCTGAATGACCAGTCCAAGAAAGAACAGGTGGAATATGGTGATATTCTGTCAGTCCCTTGGCTGCTTCTTTTTGCTTATACATATAGATACATATAGTCATATAGTATTACAATACATGATAGCCCAAACCTGCCCCTGGCAACCCAGGTTGCCAAAAGTCGCCTTGCAACGCTGCAAGCACAGAATGGGCAAGTTCCATCGACGCCTGAAGCTCGGGTGCGGGCTGTGACTTCACCACAGGCGCCACAGAGTGTTAAGTCAAGCCCTGCTCAGCCAACTACATCTCAGAAATGCCCCAGTCAAGCTGCAGAGGACTGGGGCACTTTGGATCAAATGAGAACGGAATTGCAGAGCCAAAGAAACCTATATAAATATATATATATATCAAACTGATGGATCTCAGAAATAAACCCTTATATATATATATATATATTATCATAATATGCAATGAAAGATAACTTTCGAATTGCATATGCTCATCAATCTTGTGGTTGATCATGTTGCTCCGCCTTCCCAAAGCACCCATGGTTTTCTCTCACTCAATGTGCCTCGTGGCAGGACAACAGCGAAAAAGGTGAGATGAGCGAAGATGACCTGAGTGAGGAGGCGGGGTCATGAGGCTTCCAAATGCTTCCTGTACATGTTGTGAATGAAACCTTTGATGAAAAAATAAGATAGAATTGAATTGCGCCCTAGATTAGATTTCATTGGTACCACATACACTCTACCAGGAGGATGCTGATGCGTCCCAGCAGCAGAAGAAGGCTTGGCTAATTCAACGGTCATTATTTTTCTATGTTTTGAGGGGTGCTTTTTCAATGCACTTGCCACCATGAAATCATACCGTCACTTGGCAGGCCACTGAGGAGTACAAAAAGCTGGCCGCCCTCAATGCCAAGCTTGCCAGGATTTGCAAACCGAAAGCACATTCAGGACGACTGGAAGTGAGCCAGGAGATTCACAAACAGTGGATGGCTGGAGGTGAACAGCGAAAGAGTCTTTTGAACATTCTTATCAAAGCAAATGGCGATAAGGCAGGTTTGTTTTCAAATTCAATCCTTTTCAGTCCATGCTTTGACAATGAGTGCTTGAGTATATATGATATAACATATATATATGTATATATATGCACATGTATATGTATATATGGGCATTTCTCAAAATGTGGGATGCTCGAAAGTGTTCGAAATTCAGCCCTTTAGAGGTGTTTTCGAGCATCCCCCATTTTGAGAAATAACCATATATAACAGTCTTTCCCCAAACACATGGATTATACACCCTCTTGGTCGCATCAGCCTTTTGATAGGCGGTCTTCAAGAAGGAAATCGAGC